GAACCAAGACACCATATTTTATCCTATATAGAAGCAACCACCAGAAGTGCTTTTCCTATCATCAAAATTTCCAGCCCAGTCAGCGTCACAATAACCTGCAAGATGTAGTTTTGTATCAACAGAGTAAAATAGCCCATAGTCAGATGTACCTCCCACATATTTGATGATATGTTTGACTACCTTCATGTGTGATTCTTTGGGAGCGGACTGATGCCTAGCACAAAGTCCAACACTGAAACAAATATCAGGTCTACTAGCAGTGAGATATAAGAGACTGCCAATCATACTTCTGTAAGAGTTTGATCAACAGGTGTACCTTCATCATCTTTTGACACTTTTACATGCGTGCCCATGGTATTTTGAGAATTTTTAGCATTTTCAAGACCAAAATTTTTAACAAGGTTCTTAGCATGTTTACTTTGATGTAAGAAGATACTATCTTTACCTTGTTTTACCTGGAGCCCGGGGAAGTATGAAAGTTCACCAACCAGGCTCATCTCAAATTCAGACGACATGTTTAACAAAATGATTGACCAGCTTCTTGGAGGTTGACCCAAAAATGATGTCGTCCACATAGATTTGAGCTGCCAGCAGATCTTCATCAGTTCGGAGTGCAAAGAATGTCTGATCTACTCCCCCTCTTTTAAATCCTTTCTCCAGAAGGTACATGGTAAGACGCTCATACCACGCACGAGGTGCTTGCTTTAGACCATACAGGGCTTTCTTGAGTCTGTAAACGTGAATTGTATTTTGGGGCTCCTTGAACCCTTCAGGATATTTTATGTGCGCTTCTTCATGCAAGATGTCGTTTAGAAAGGCTGACTTCACGTCCATCTGATAGACAATGAACTTCATTAGACAAGCAATTGATAAGAATATACGTACCGATTCAAGTCGCGCAATTGGAGCAAACGTTGCATCAAAATCAACTCCTTGAGTTTGAGTATAGCCTTGAGCAACCAATCTAGACTTGTTGCGTGTCACATTCCCAAACTCATCAGTTTTGTTTTTGAAGATCTACTTGTTTTTTATAACATTTCCTGAACAAGGTTCAGGCACAAGCTCGCAAACATCTTTTCTAGAGAACTGTTCTAGTTCCTCTTGCATTGCCAAGATCTAGCGCTTATCTTTCAAGGTTCTTTGGAATTCTTGGGTTTAATCAAGGATATGTAGCAAGCAAAGTGAGAAACCCCCATATGTTCTTTGACTGTATTCCTTGAGTTCCTAGTTACTCTCTCGTTGAGATCACCAATGACCATTTCAAATAGATGATTTTTCTGGATCTTTAAGGGAGGATCACGCTTTGGTTGTGCTGGACTTCCAAGTGTAGCAGGTTCAATATACTCAGTCAGAATTTCTTCCGACTCTTCAGCCCCAACTGAACGTTCAAGAATCTCAAGGTCTACAGAACTGTTAACATCGTAAGTATCCTGCATACTCTCAAAAATTTCACAAGGACTAAAGGACACTGATGAACCAACATTGGAGGTTTTC